TTCTTTATGATAAGTCTTCTTCAGTTCTTTGTTTTTGTCGCTTCTTCTCTTCACCATTTAATCTTTCTTTAGCTCTCCGCAGCCATTTCTGAATTGCTTCTTCTAAAACTTTTTTGGTATATTCGGAATTACTATTTTGACCGGAAACTGAAATAAAATAAATCAGCATCTTGTAAGCAATAATTTTTTTACTCGTGTGATTTTATAAAGATTAATTATTTAAATATAAACATAATTTATTAATAAATTAAGTAAATAACATTATCTATTTAAACGCTTACCAATTAGCAAGTCAGCGAGTTTTAAATGACCAAATTTCCTCTTTTGTTTTGCTCCTAGCCAACTATATTTTTCAGCCAGCTCGTTGGTCAGCAAACGAGTACAATTGCGCTTAATAAATTCATAAGGATGATTTCCCCCTACTCTGGATACTTCTTTAACCTACAATAAATATTTTTAATAAAACATTATATACAAACATTATATAAAGACATTATATAAAAATTTTTTAAAACATTATTTTGAAAATTACAAATATGACAATATGTTTAATATTATAATCTAATAATTTAAATGTTTATTAATATTACTATACATTTTTATATTATTAATTTTGGCAATATATATTGCTCTAATAAGCGAAAATTAGATTTAAAATTTAATAATAATAGAATTAAAAGGAGAAAAGAATTATTTTATTTTTGAAATTTGTATACCAATTTGATTTAATAAATTTTTATTTTTAATTTGAACTATTTGTTAATTTTTGTTTTACAATTAAAAATTTTAGGTTAACTATGATTGTTTTTAAAATATTCATAAAGATGTAATGTTTATTGTAGATAACTGGCAGTGAAAAAATTAAACAATTAGTTATTAATTTTATAAATCCCATAAAACTCACTTACAACAATAAATTAATAATTAATTAATTATTATTACCGATGCTTCGAAATTATTCGGCTGACATAAAAATTGTTCCAAGTGCTCTTCTAAATCTTCCACAGAATTAAAAGGAAGCTGCTGAAAAGAGAAAATAGACTCTTCTCTTTCAGTAACATTTTGCCGTTGACGAACTTGTTGCAACAATTCATTTTTCATATCTTTTAGATTATCTGCTATTTGCCATAACTGTGTCTTAAAGTATGATTGCTGACGGATAATTTCTTTAAAATGCTGAAGCACTGTAAATTATAACAAAAATAATAAAGATTTTTTCCTTATTAAATTCCAAATTTTTTAAAGATTGAGATTATGTATACATGTATATATAGAATATATGTACATTGAATAGATTTTTGTTCGTGCTATTAACGTATGTTATGACATTTTATTTATAAAGTGCAGAGACAAAGAAAACGATCACAAAAATATTATGAATATTACGTTGTATAACAAAATAATAAAAATAAATATGATTAAATAGATAGATAGATAGATGTTTTATTACCCCTGCGGGGTACATACGGACCTCCGCTCCGTTTACATAATCCTTAACCCTAACTTAACCTATTAACTTAACCTATACTTAACCTATCCTTCATTCATACCCGAGAGAGAGAGAGACACATTCATAACATCCTCACTCATACTCTCAATTCTTTCATACCTTTGGACCTCCGTTTCCGCCGCATCCTCCTTTCTCTCCACTCCCTCTTCCACTTCCCTCCCAC